CATTCCTGATAAAAACTCTCAGCAAAATAAGAATAGAAGGGAAATTCCTCAACATAATTAATGGCACAAATACAAAACCAACAGCCAACATCATTCTCAATGGAGAGAGACTGAAAGCATTCCACCTGAGAATTGGAACCAGACAAGGATGCCCTTTGTCACCACTATTATGCAATATTGTACTGGAAGTCCTAGCTACAGCAGTAAGGCAAGAAAACGAAATAAAAGGCATCCAAAATGGTAGGGAAGAAGTAAAACTACCCTGTTTGAAGACGATATGATCCTATAGATAGAAAATCTCAGAGATGTTACAAGAAAGCTACTGGAACTAATAGAAGGATTCAGCAAAGCGGCAGCGCACAAAAGCAACATACAAAAATCATGCAAAAACCTCTAACAAAAAAAAACAATACTATTTACAATAGCCCCCCAGAAGATAAAATACTTAAGGACATAAAAGACTTACACAAAGAAAACTATAAAACGGTACTGTAAGAAACCAAAGAGACCTACATAAATGAAAAACATACCATGTTCATGGATACGAAGACTTAACATTGTAAAAATTTCAATACTACCCAAAGCGATCTATAGATATAATGCAATCCCAATCCAAATTTCAAGAACATTCTTTAACAAGGTGGAAAAACTAATCACCACCTTTATATGGAAAGGAAAGAGGCCCCCGATAAACAAAACATTACTGCAGAAGAGCACAGTAGGAGGCCTCATGCTTCCTGATCTCAGAACCTACTATAGAGCCACAGTAGTCAAAACAACCTGCTACTGGTACAATGACAGACACGACCAATGGAACAGGAGTGAGAACGCATAAGTAAATCCATCCACCTATGGGAAGTTGATTTTCAACAAAGGGTTGAAATCCATTAAATGGGGAAGAGACAGCCTCTTTAACAAATGGTGCTGGCAAAACTGGTTATCCATGTGCAGAAAAATGAAACAGGATCCATATCCCACACCAAACACAAAAAATAACTCAAGACAGATCAAAGACCTAAAGGTAAAATCTAAAACTATACATAGAAACAAAAAAAATGAGGCAAACCTAGGGGCCCTAATTTATGTCATAATTAGAATATAAACTATAACTAAAAATGCACAAACAGAAGATGATAAGCTAGACAACTGGCACCTCCTAAACATTAAATACTTATGCACATCAAAAGACTTCTCCAGAAGAGTAAAAAGAGAACCTACAGACTGGGAAAAAAATTTGGCAATGACATATCTGATAAGCGACTAACCTCTAAAATTTACAGAAAACTTCAAAACTTCAACAACAAAAAGAGAAACAATCCAATTTAAAAATGGGCAAAGGACATGAACAGACACTTTACCAAAGAAGACATTCAGGCGGCCAACAAATACATGAAGAGATGCTCGCCATCATTACCCATTAGAAAAGTGCAAATCTAAACTACAATGAGATACCATCTCACCCTGGCAATAACGGCACTGATCAGAAAAAAAAAAAAAAAAAGAAAACAAATGACGGCAAGGTTGTGGGGAGACTGGAACTCTCGTACATTGCTGTTAGAAATGTAAAATGGTACAACCACTATGGAAAATGGTATGGTGCTTCCTTAAAAAGCTAGAATTAGAAATATCATATAATCCAGTAATTCCACTCCTAGGTATATATCCTAGAGGAATAACAGCCGTGACACTAATAGAAATATGCACACTCATGTTAATTGCAGCATTATTCACAACAGCAAAAAGATGGAAACAACCTAAGTGTCCATCAACGGATGAATGGATAAACAAACTGTGGTACATACACACAATGGAATACTACGCAATGTTAAAGAATAACGATGAATTCATGAAACATCTTGCAACATGGGTGAACCTGGAGGATATCATGCTGAGTAAAATAAGTCAATCACAAAAGGACAAATATTATATGAGACCACTATTATAAAAAATCAAGGAATGGTTTACACACAAAAACGTTCTTTGATGGTTACCAGGGATGGGAGGGGGAGAGAGGGCAAATTACTAACTAGATAGTAGATATGTATTAACTTTGGTGAAAGGGAAGACAATACACAATATGAGAGAAGTAAGCATGACATGACCAAGGCAAGGAAGACACTGAGCGGTATGCAAGAGTAATAGGCAACAATGGTAAATATCATTACATATACAATCCTGCAACAATAGTAATAGCAAACAATAATTTACAAGTGGATACACAGGTAGATAATGTAAGCTGAACAGGTATGGGAAGGTGCTTGGGAGTACACTCTTATGCATATGTAGGTTTGCCAGTGAATATTTCTACATACGTATTTGTTTGTACGACAAATGTATCCATGTATATAATAGAGCACACGGGGCGCACAGCCATGAAAACTTCTTAGACATAACCAAACACCTCGAGGGACTGAATCACTGGACTTGAGGGCTTAGGACCATGCTCTCAGGGGACATCTAGGTCAACTGGCATAACACAGTCCATAGAGACAATGTTCTACCCTACCTTGGTGAGTAGCGACTGGGGTCTTAAAAGCTTGCAAGTGGCCATCTAGGGTACAACAACTGATCTCTTCCTGTACGGAGCAAAGAAGAATGAAGAAAACCAAAGACTCAAGGAAACGATTAGTCCAAAGGACTGATGGACCACATAAACCATGACCTACACTAGCCTGAGACCAGAATAACTAGCTAGTGCCTGGCTACCACTACCAACCACTCTGACCAGGATCACAATAGAAGGTCCTGGACAGAGTGGGAGAAAAATGTAGAAGAAAACTCAAATTCATAAAAAAGACCAGACTTACTGGTTTGATAAAGACAGTGGTGGAACCCCCAAGACTCCTAACGACCCTTAGACACCCTTCAAACCTGGTACAGAACCCACTCCCAGATATCACCTTTCAGCCAAACAATAGGCCTATAGTGTACAATAACACTGGTGAGGAGCATACTGCTCAGAACAATCAACCATATGAGACCAAAACGGCAGCATTTGCCCAAAAGCAAAGTTCAGAAGGCCAGAAGAGGCAGGAAAGATGGGCGAGTGGAAACAGGGAACCCAGGGATGAATGGGGAAGAGTGCTGACACATTGAGGGGATTGCAACTAATGTCATGAAACAAAATGTGTATAAACTGTTGAATGGGAAACTAATTTGCTCTGTAAATGTTCACATAAACCACAGTAAAATGTTAAAAAAAAAAAAAAAAAACAACACCTGAGGACCCCTGTGCTTGAGAATAAACTACTCTACTTCTACACCCAAAAAGAAAAAACCAGAAGTCTGTAAGTATGGACTCTGAGTCTTCAACCACATTGCCAAGGACAACGCTAACCAGAAAGGATTCAAAACAAAGACTCGTGGCGTGCCTCTTCATCCATTCTCTGCGCACACGGTGACTCAACTGTGTATAAAAGCATTGTACGTAGGGAAATTGTTTTCTCTGCTTTGCATAAACTCTCTGATTAGGTCAGCTAGTCTGATGACATGAATTAAGGCCATCCAGGCTCCACAAATACAGTAATTTAATTAAGGAATAACAGGACCTGGCTTTCTAGGCAATGATACAATTTTGCTTCCCGATTCCCAAGTGAATAGTGAGCAGAGAACAACTGGATCCTCACAGCCCTGAGAAACTGGCGTGGGTGCACAGAGCCGAATTTTGGAGATGGGGAATTCAGCCGCTCTCTGGAATTTGCTAGACACAATATGAAGGCCCAGTGGTGCTCAATTCAGCTTTCAGATGGGAAAGTGAATACTCAGCAAACTGGCAGGACTGCGTGCATAGGAGAAATACTAAAGGGAAAAGTCTTGACTAGGAAATTTTAATGTAAAGCATTTTTTTTTGTATCTTTGTGAGGAAGAAAATCAAAAACATATTTTAAAAATTTAAGATCCTCATTAAAACTGACCAAAAATACCTTAATGAAAACATTAACATAATTGCTAAGTGCTGAGTTTCAGAATATACTTGGAGAGTGTTCTGGTTTCATCATCTTTTCCACTCTGTTTCATCATAGTTGGTAGTTTAGAACTAGAGTCAAGTATAATATTAGCTATAAAAAATATACGAGTTAATTTCCATGTGTTTATATATAAATATAAACTCTTCAAATGCGTTTACTTTGGTTCCTCATTCTTTTTTGTAACCCTCAAAATGCTTTAAACTTACAAGACAATCATGAGTAATTAATTTCTAGGGGAAAAAATTATCCTACCCTCTTCGATTATCCACATTTTAAAACAACACTTATCCCAGAATGGCTCATCAAAGGAAATATTTCAAAGCAGTCTTATTTTAGGCTTAGAAGTGTGATAATTCCTACATGGTATGGGACAAAAAAGAAGCCCTGGTTGCACAATGGTTAAGCACTCGGCTGCTAATCGAAAGGTCAGCGGTTCCAACCCACCACCTGCTCCATGGGAGAAAAGACCTGGTGATCTGCTCCCATAAAAATTACAGCCAAGGAAACCATATTGGGGCAGTTCTACTCTGTCATACAGGTCACTGGGAGTCAGAATCAACCTGACACACAACAACAACATGGAACAAAAATGCTAAACCACAGGCTTTTTGAACTGCAAGCTTTTGGGAAACAAACTCTCAATTTTGTAAGAGAGAATCAGCTATCCTCTAGATTAATGGGTGGCTTAAAGATCATTGTATGATTTAAAATAATTTTAAAAATAAACATAAAAACAGTTGCCATTCAGTTGATTCGGACTCATGGCGACCCCACATAACGTCAGAGTAGAACTGTGCTCCATCGGGTTTTCAATGTCTGATTTTTTGGAAGTAGACTGCCAGGACTTTCTTCTGAGGCACCTCTGGGTGGACTTGAACCTCCAACCTTCCGGTTAGTGAACAAACGCATTAACTGTTTGCACCACCCAGGGACCCCAAAATAATATTAGGGTCTAGTAACTTCTAAATATTTTAGATTTCAATCCAAATACATGCCATGATGGATGGCATTGAAAGGGCCCACTTCACTCACCCTCTCAGAAGTTTGAACAGCATGCAGCCCAGGGAGAACCAGTCAGCACTGCTGTCATATGCCATCCCCTTCTGCAGCACCTCAGGAGCCATGTACCCATGGGTGCCACTAGGAAAAAGAAAGTGTATATGTAGTTATCAGAGCACGTCTGTCTTACATCAACAGTTCCTTAAGAGGTTCCGGCGTCATTCACTAAATGGCAGCAATGGTCAACAAGGAGGAGGTACAACTGTCCCACATTCGATGGGAAAACCATCTTTTCTGCCTTAATCAGTATATGAATTAATATAAATGAATTACCTTACGAAATAAATATAAAACATGCCGGCTCCATAGTCTAGAAGAGGAGATCTGAATCTCATTAGTCCTTTTCTGCTGGGGCAATGAAGAGCAGACCATCTCCTGCCCTTTCAAGAGCTCTTGTGTAGACACGTGTGGGGCTGGAGGAGGCGGGGGAAGGGGGAGGGAAAGGACGGCAACAGATGCCTCCACCACAGCACTCTGAGCCTTAGAGGCATGGGGACATCCACTCCCTGCTCGTGGTGCCATCTTCCCATGCTGGGGACCTGATCTCACAGGTGCTAGTGGTGTGGGCTACTTCTGTAAGTCACAGTCAATGAACAGACCCCAGGGGAGTAGGCAAGGAGTGGGAGCACAAGCAGACATGATACATGATGAAGAAGCCATGTGTTATGTTTTAAAAGCTGCTGACTGGCCAAAAGACTCATTGAAGCATATGTGAAGATGGTTTTCAGGGAGTTGAGAAAATGATTTGAGAGGGCAACCATTTTATGCATAACGTGCACTGTCTGCAACTCAAAAGAGCTGCCCATTCAATGATTCTCCAGCCCTCCTGGAAAGCTGAGTATGCAGGGTTCCATCCTGAAGAGCGAGCAGTGGCTCATGGGGGACTCTGAAAGATGCAGCTTGAAAGGGTCTCTGTAGAAGCCCTTCTCTGTACCCCCTCCAACCTCTCCATCCTTCACTGATTTTTTTTAACAGTAAAACAGGAAATAAAAGAACATGCCTCACATAGGGGTGCTGAGCTTATACATCCACAGGTTCTGGCCTAAATAACTGTAAAGTGCCAACAAAATGCTAATGCCTTTATCACCATCTCCCAGATTCCGTAAGAAAAGAAAAGGAGGTTTTCATGTTCACATTTGTGAAATATGTAATGGGCTCAGAATAGTGCTGGCATCCAGGATAAATTCAATCCGTGTTAGGGATTTGTATCTCTAGTCTTATTACAATCGTCTTCAACTTACTTAGGCTCAGAAACAGTGATAATATGCTCCCAAAAAATGATCCTGGATCATTTAAAAAAAAAAGTCATGTTGGGCCCAGTACCCTGTTTAAGAGGTGTATTTTGAAAGCTGTCATCAAACAGTGAAAATGGGCACCAGTCCATCTAGGCAGACCCAGCTCTCTGAAAAGCCTGCCCCCCAGGTGATGATGGTCACACACAACATGATGATTGGAATTAATGTCACTGAATCGTATGTGTAAAAAATGTCGAAATGGCAAATGTTTTGTTTTATATATACACATATACGTGTGTGTATATATTTGTAGTTCTTAGCTGCCATCAATTCAGTTTGGACTCATGGCGACCCCGTAAGCGCAGAGCAGAACTGTGCTCCATAGGGTTTTCAAGGCTGTGAACTTTCAGAAGCAGATCACTAGGTCCTTCGAGGTGCCTCTGGGTGCTTTCAGCTAGTAGTCAAGTGCTTAACCATTCATGCCACCCAGGGGCAAGTGTGTGTCTGTGTTCACCACAATAAAAAAATTAAAAAAAAGAAGCAGCTCTGCCATCCAGATTTCAGAGTTTTATTTTACAGTGTGAGGTCAACAAGCCACGCTGTGAGAGCATCAGAGACTTCTGGGAGGGGTGTCCAAATAATCCTGGGGAAGGTTTACTGTCAGCATTGCCGGGAGAGACCTCTGTGGCGAGCTTTCAACCCTGTGGTTCTGTAATTGTCAGGATCACACAAAATTATGGAATGGAAATAAATCTGCAAGAATAAATAAACCAAGTGGATGCAGATCATTCTCCAAGCTTACTCTGGACACAAGGAAAACAGGCACACCAGACAGCTGCCCTGTGGTTTTCGGACGGTGTCTATGTGGCAGCTACTGATGCTTCCTGACTCACGCTGCTAGGGCGTCCCACTACCATTAATGCTGAGGAAACACTGGGACATTTTACAGTTACATTAACTAGTTGACTTAACCCTCATAATTGTGACATGAGACATGGCCTAATATTCACAGATAAAATAAGCTAGTCTTCAAATGAGTCACTGACAATCTGCTCAGTTCTTAAAAGTTTTCCTTTAATTTTTCTCCCTACTCTACAGTTAATTTTTAGTTTGCAATAATCTGTGATCCCATCCTTAAATGAATTGAGTCAGGAACCTCGACTATGGCACTGCTTTGCAGATGGGCTTGCCCAGGATCATAGCTACAGTTTAAAAGACTTGAGAAACCAAGTTCAGGGTAAAATTCTGGCCAAGCTTGTGTTAAGTCTAGTCCTCAGAAGATCATTTCAAGGCCTCGGGGAGTTCACCCGCATAATATAAAGAGCAGAGGCTTGGGAATCAGACAGAACCGATTGTGATTCTAGCCCCACAATGTGCTAGCCGTGTGACTTTGTTCAAATTATTTAATTTCTCTGAACCTCCATTTTCATATGATAGAAAATGAATAATAACACTTATAACTATGGGGTTTCTGTGAAGATACATAATGACATATTCAAAGTACCTCATTAAGCGTGTCTGGGATACACCAGATATTCAACTAATACAACAATGAATATGGCTGTGGCTACTGTCCCTACCCCCTCAACATAAGCATCTTGAAGATGTGCACGCTCACACACACACACACACACACACACACACACACACGCACACACGCACACGCAGACACACACAGCACTTCACAGACACGGTTCATGGACTGTGAGTTCCAAGAGATCAGGGGTCGTCTCTGCTTATTCACTGCTATCGCCAGTTCCCGAAACACAGCAAATGTTCACTACATAATTGACAAATTCATTAACTAATTGACTTAACCCTCACAACGACCACTGATGCAAATATAATTATTATCTCCTCTTCACAGCAAAGAAGAATGAGGTTTACACAACTTGGAAGGTGGATTCAAACCCAGGTCTGTGGACTCCAAAGTCTTTGCTCTTAGCTACAAACCACCTTCTTTATTTAAAAATAAAGTATTTCATTGTGTATTTATCCTTTTCAAATAGTGGCTTCACTTATCATCCTTTAAATGTGGACATCAGCCTTCCCAATCCTATGCCACTAAAGATGCTGTGCAAACGCTGTGCTTTCCAGAGCAGGCAAGAGAGCAACCCACCTTTCAGAGCTGACCTGTGAGTTACAGGGAGAAGCAGGCTGGCGGCCCTAGACATAAATAAATAACCCCACATCCTAAAGTTAATTCTTTTGGAAGATTAATTTTTATGAACTCTTGGATTCATATTTAGTTATGACTATACCAAATTGAAATTAGCATACCAAATAGCTGTGGCATTAAAAATTCAAATGACTCTCTTAAAACTGTCTGATGAACTCCCTGGGAGAAGCTTATACAACCACAGGTTCTGGCCTAATAATTGTAAAGTGCTAGCAAAATGCTAATGCTTTTAGCATCACCTCCCAGATTCTGTAGGAAAAGAGACGCATGTTTACAGAAATGGTGCTACTCACTATTAACACTGGATCAGAGCTTTCAAAGGCATTCTATTTAACGCAGCCCCTCATAAAGTACTGCAATTCAGAACCACTTTACTTTGAATTACACAAAAACAAGGGCCTGTAGTTTATTTTCTGTATGGATGCATGAAGTGTGACCCCTGGGAGTTCTCCAAGAACATTTAACACAGAGATGGATGTTAGCTCAGCAAGTACAATAAAAATGTAAGTTTAAAAGATTCAGTGCGAAGAACAACAGATTTAAAAAGAAAAAGTAAAATGAGGGAGGAACAACTCAGAAAGGGAGGGTGAGAAAGGTTGAACAACTCAAAGAATGTAATCAATGTCACTAAATTGTACAAAATAAACTGTTGAACTGGTATATGTTTTGTTGTGTATATTTTCAACAATGACAACAAAATAAGTTTTAAGAAAAAAAATATTAAAAAACAAAATGGAGCTAAAGTCATCTGTGTTTCCCAAACTGTACCCATGCCCCTACTTTCCATCCAGATAAACTGACGCCAGTGCAGTAGAAACCAAAGCCAGTGCCTTGTTCCGTTCTGTTTCTGCAGAGCCCTGGGAGCCGTCTCACATTCCTGTTGTCATGTTAACAACCCCGGCTGTCCGGCAAGTCTTCTGGCCAGGGTCAGCATGCACAAGCCAAACACTGCACCTCAGAGCAGTTCAGTGTCCCTGAAGTGCAAAGTGCTGGCTAAGTGCTGTGGTCTCAGGGTGCTAACTCCACATGGTAATTTTGAGGGCAGATGTTATGCCCAAATCTAACAATATGACCGAAGATAAAAGCTTGAAGTACCAGTAGATGATTTGTTTTCTTAATAATAATAATAATAAAGATTTCTAATTGCTCTTCCCTCAAAAAAAAGCCTTTTTGAGAGAGAAGGAAGAGTATACGTACAGTGAACCGTGACCCTAACAGCCTTCCTGGGAGAGCCCTATGCAGCGAGCTCTGCAGAGAGGCTCTTACTTGGCAGAGGGGCTATTTCATGAATCCTCGTAACAACTTGGAGGGATTTATTATCATCTCCACTTTATAGATAAAGAGACTGAAGATCAAACAGGTCAACTGACTGACTTAGGGTCACAAAGCCATCAAGAACACAAGCCCTTTGTCACGTCCCCTGCTCCTTCCGATGACCCTGTGGGTCCGTCCCTGCTCTGCGCAGACACTGGGGTAGAAAGCACACCACTCGTATCAACTCCCCCACCACCTGTGCCCTGACCCAGTTTCATCACGTCTGGAAAAATCCTTGCTGACCAGAGAAGAGACAGGGAGCAAATGGCAAGGGCAGGCCTGACAAAACCAACAAATTACATCAGAGAAACAATACTGAACAGGGCTGAGGCACTACTTACACACTCGCATGCGGCTTCTTTTTGGAAAAATCACAGGCAAGACCAAGATCTGATATCCTTACGTGGCCGTGTTCATCCAGAAGGATATTTGCAGGCTGTGAAGGAAGAGATAAAAGTCCCCAAAATGTCACAGGGGCTCTGAGAACATCTAAAGCTATAGACACTTGATATTTATCATTATTTTGTCATAGTTTGTTCCTCAGCGTTAATTATAATGTAACAACATCACATCAGAGCCGTGGTGGCACAGTGGTTAAGAGCTCACCTGCTAACCAAAAGGTCGGCAGTTTGAATCCACCAGCCACTCCCTGGCAACCCTATGGAGCAGTTCTACTCTGTCCTATAGGGTCGCTATGAGTCAGAATCTACTCGACAGCACCGGGTTAGCATCACATCAAAGTAGGACGTGATACGGAGGATAGTATCTTTAATGCTACCTTCAGTAGGAAAAGCAGTAATGAAGAGGCAAAAGGATTTTACTCCTTAGAAAATAAAACACAGGGTGGGTAACATCGGAGGGTTATGATCACAGTTCATCAGAGTTAAAGCATCTCCTTCTCACTGTACCAAGAAATGCAATACAGAGAGCAGTGTGGCTCTCAACATGGGGAGGGAGTCCCCCAGCTTCTTGGCTTATGTGAACCACAAGGACTTCTGAGAAGAAAGCCACAGAACAAAGAGCAGAAAGCCATCTTGAAAGAGTGTACAAATACCTGACCTAAGAAATCAAAATATTCCACAGTGCCACACTAATTCTGATAAATGTCATTTCTGTTTATTAGTACATAATCAACATAGGGCCCGACCAAACGACCAAATGTGATTTTGACCACAACTCTGATGAAACGTATCTATTAAGATTAGATTTAGTCAGCCTAACCACGGAAAACAAAGCTCCTCTCCCCAATATACATTGGATTACAGTTGTCTTAATTTTATTTTTCTGCTGGAGATCAACTATTGTTTTGCTTGAAATAAAAATAATGGCATGCTATTACAAAACTGAAGCGTGAATAATCGTGAGTGACTAGAATTAAGTTAGAATAGAAACTAGATAATACCAGTACCTATTAAATAGCTTAGAAAACAAAAACAGCATAAAAATGATTAGAAACCGGTTATAGATTTAAATTAAAATGTATTGTAATGGCACTTCATGGGCCTTTATCATGTAGTTTATTCTTATGCAAAACTCACACGAGGAAATAAAATGTCATGACCTAACCAATGTCTAATTTTTTCTAGTTCCACAAAAGTACGTTTTTTCTTTTTGATGCTCATATGAAAACTTAGGGAATAATTCTTCATAATTGCAGAAAACTTTAGAAGATTATAAAAACATTTGATGATGAAAAAGATAAAAGTCTCATATGCTCAAAAATACAATCTTTTAGATTCTCAGCACATAACCCTGAAAAGCTAATGATATCGTTAGAGAAAGGAACGCAATCTGTACATTCCAGTTGGTCACTGTGGGATCATTTAAGAAGGAAGCTAAAACAGCAGGAATCTGAAACACATATTCTGGAATCTTCTCATCCTATTGGGAAACTGTCACTCCTATCATTTTTCTTATTATTATTTACACAAGTATATATCTGCATAATCATTTGCATAATTTGTCATGGTCTTTTATCTCTATTCCTATCTTCAGGCTGCTGGCAATCACAGCTAGCTGAGCTTCACCCACAGACATACTGAGCCAGCTCCTACGTCCTTCACTAATGTAGAACCCAGGATCAAGCATCATGGTCTGGAATGGAAAAACTCAGAACAGCCCTATTTCATTATTTTCCAGTCCAGTGAGCTTTTAAAGAGAATAGGAATGGAAACCCAAGCATAGCAGTTGGGGGCTACGTAGTCCGAGGTTCTGAAAATCTATTAACGATTTTTAAGCCCATCTCACAACAATGGGAAATGACACTGAGAGTGGCCTTTGGGAAAATTTTGCAGGCTGATCAGCAATGCCTCCCCTAACTGCCTTGCCTAGGATAAGTCATGTCTCAGCTATTCTATGTCTTGGATCACCAGCTTATGTTGTTGTTGCTAGCTGCTGTGGAGTCAGCTCCCACTCATGGCAACAGAAGGAAATGTTGCCCGGGCCTGCATAAAATCTATGCTCATTTACTGTTCATCTTTGCACATCCCCAATTCTAACACCAAGCCATGGCCAAATCAGTTGCCTAGTGGACATTAAGCGAATTACAATTAATTATAAAATGGGTGGCACCAAAAACCTCCCACCCAACTTCTCATTAATTAATCAATGAAAAGCTTGCGTTTAGTGCATGTGCTGCAGCAGGCACTGGTTTCAGTAAGCACTGCGGTTACAAGGATGACTAGGATGGACAGTGGTTCTGCCCCCGCAGGCTTTAGAGTCTAGAAGAGACCATTATCACACAGCTATAATGACTTCATCGGGGCTGAGATGAGGGCTAGGTGGAAATGATAGGACACAATGAAAGAACAGTGGCATTATCATAACACCTACTGCACAGGGTGAGTAAGCAGAATGGGTTCATGAACTCTCCTTACCTTCAAATCTCTGTAAACAACGAACCGATTGTGCATGTGTTCCAGCCCTAGAATGATTTCAGTGGCATAAAACCGCATCTCCTTCTCAGAAAACACCCCGTGCTGTGAAAGGTGATAGTGCAAATCACCTCCTGAAACCAGAGATTCAGAAGTTAACTCAAAACAAAGTGTTTTAATTTGAAAGAAAACAAAGATCACTGTCATCCTAAATAGTTAGGGCACACTAGAAAAGGAGAAGCTAGGCTTCTGCTTTGTTTCTATACCCGTCTGTGATTTCTGTAGTGTGAAAAAAAAAACACTTAGAAAATTATACAGAAAACTTAAAACACTGAGAAAACTTCAGTGCAACTATGGCTGAGATAATACAACAAACCAAATCATTGCTCTCAGGTCAATAACACAGCTCCCAGTTACACCATCACAGACTGGACTGAATCTGCTTTGATTACTTAAGTCCTGTCTAATAATCAAATCAACCTACATAGCAATCCAATAGATGACTTAGCAACTGGCTCTTTGGACAGACAAAATATAGGAATCAATTATACAGGTAGACATTTGATGAAGCAAATACAATAAAAATGTAACTGGTAAAATCCAAGTGATAGGTATTTGATGTTCCCAATAAAATTCTTTCAACTTTGCTGTATGTTTGAAATATTTCATAATAAAATGTTGGAAAAAGAAACTACTTATATTGCCTCAAGTTATAGAAACAGTGAATGCCACCAACCAGGTAGGGGAATGTTTTTATAAATTACAAGGGAAAAGCCTCTATTTATTTGGAAAAGTTAATGCATGTTCAACTTTACTGCCCTTGCTTTTACAAATATCTTCCCTTTCACATACACCTACACTTACCCACAAAAATAACATATACCCATACTTATGTTGTTTTGGCAAACTGTTAACCTGACCTTCAAAAAAAACCTCCCAATTATTACTAAAGAGAGGAATAAATCAAGTTGCTTTCCCTCTCTCTTTTTTATTGAGGTATAACTCACAAAAAATAAAGTGCACAATGCTTAAACGTACAGTTCAATACATTTTTACACACACACACAAGCATTTTTACACGCTGTTGTTGTTGTTATTTGCCATCGACTTAATCCCAACTCATGGCGACCCTGTGTGTGCAGAGCAGAACTGCTCCCTAGGGTTTTCAAGGCTGTGACCTTTTAGAAGCAGATCACCAGACCTGTTTTCTTAGGTGCCTCTGGGTGGGTTCGAACTGCTAAAATGTTGGCTAGTAGCTGAGCGCTTAATCATTTGTACCACCCAGGGACTCTTGCATGTTTACATATATATGTGTGTGCGTGTGTGTGTATATATATGTAAAATATATGTATAAATACAGAATATATGTATACATGTAATATATACATATATACACACATACATATACACATATACGTATAAAGCCCTTTGCCTTTGAGTCGATTCTGACTCGTACTGACCCTGTAAGACAGAGTAGAACTGTCCCAAAGGGTTTCCAAGGCTGTAATCTTTACAGAAGCAGGCTGCCACATCCTTCTCCCTTGGAGTGGGTTTCAACTGCTGACCTTTCAGTAAGCAGTGGAGTGCTTAAACAATGTGCCACACAAGACTTCTTATATAGGTATAGATATATATTACTGTATAATCCTCACCAGAGCAAGATGTAAAAGATTTCCACCATCCCAGAAGGCTCCCCCATGTCCTTTCCAGTCAGTACCTCACCCATGCCCCCCCGCATACCCCAACAAAGTTAACTATTCTGAATTCTCTCACCATTGATTAGTTTTGCCTATTCTGACATTCACGTAAATAGGATCATACAGTATGTATGTGTCTGGGCCTGGTTCCTTTTGCTCATCATTCCCACTGCTGTCAAGTCGATTAGGACTCATAGTGACCCCACAGGGTTTCCAAGGCTGTAAATATCTATGGAAGCAGACTGCCACATCTTTCTCTCGTGGAGCTGCTGGTGGTTTCCAACCACCAACTTTCTGGTTAGCAGTTAATAGCTTTAACCATTCATGATGTCTGTGAAATTCCTTCATGTTTTTTGATACATCAGGTTTTAAACTAAACACTCAAAATACAATAAAGCTTCAAACGAACTGGGTATTTGATTTGTTCAACTGTATGCCTTTTTAGTTCAGCTCTTTAATAAAAAGTTTGAAGATATAGCAGATGAAAATTTCCCAGCATGCTCAGGGCCATGGTTCATAGACCAATGTCTAGTAGTGCAGGTTTACAAGGTACAGGAGATTGGGCTAACATCTGTATGGACCCACAGTCAGTCTTTCAAAGCTAGCTATTCAATACATTTTTATCTTTGGCCTATATTCCTAATGAGGCATTTCATTCCTAAATGTTGAGGGCCAGGAAATAAGCTATTTAAAGATCTAGGTCAGCTACATTCCAGAAAATCAAGTTTCACTATAAATATTTCATGAAATTTCTCTTATAGAAAATGCAACTTCCTAAGTGGACACTGAGGAGGGCCAGAAGGAAATCACACTCAACATTTTAAAATAAATTTTAACTAAAAATTGGAGAGTAAATCGTTTCCCCAAACTTCAGGGGGAACCCAATTATCTGAAAGACCAAAATGGCCAGTGTGCCTAGATCAATGCATGTTAAGATGTAACATCATGGCAGACTCTTACAGTGCATTCAGACTTCCCAAGTTTGCTTACCGTTCATCAGATCCAGGATGAAGCAGAGTTTATCTGGAGTGTGGAAGGCATACGTCATACAGACAATGAAAGGGCAATCCTAGAGATAAAAAAAAAAAAAAAAAAAAAGTTTATAAAAAAGACAAAAGCCGTCCTAGAAAGCACATCTACCATCAAACACCATGCTATGGATTTTTATCCGCCCACCGCCTGTTCATTGAGCACAGACAGGTACGCGCTCACTTTAACAATCAATCACAGGAAAATGGATCTTGTTACGTGATACAATTCTAAGAGGCACAATGTTTGGAGCAGATGAACTCTAAGATCCTCTCTCTCACATAGATCAGTCATGTCCCTATTCTAATTATATCTTCTTCAAAAGACTCAAGTTTCTATAGGAAAATAATATTACTGCCTTGCTATTCTTTTTATTGGTCTACATTTTCATTCTGGCTAGTCAAATATCCAATTCAATCTCTGATTCTGAAGTTGGAAGACTCAAACCACAATGGGAATATGTTACCTGTATTATTCTCTTGAAACATTGAAAATAAAAATGGAATTAAATTCGTTTTTGAAAATGGAAAAATATACCATGGTCAAGGATTGAATAATTCAATTGTAGGAATGTCAGTTTCCCCTAATTAATCTATAAATTCCATGCAATCTTAATTAAAATGAAAACTGACAAGCGGGTTCTAAAATTTATATAGAAATGTCAACAGCCAAGAAAAGCTAACGTACTCTTGAAAAAAAACAAAGCTGGAAATTTTATAGTACCAGATACCAAGACTTAGTATAAATCAATAGCAACTCAGACAGCATGGTACTAGATCAACAAAAGACAAACAGACGAAAGGGACAGGACGAAGAATCCTAAAACAGACCCACACATACGTGTTCATTTGATTTGTGATAAAGGTGACGCAGCAGGGCAGAGGAAAAAGATGGTCTTTTCAATCAATGCTGCTAAAGCAACTGGATATCTATAGAATAAAATATGAACCTTGATCCCTACCTCAGACCATATACTAAATTCAATTCAAGGTAATGTAGATCTAAACGTGAAAGGTAAAACTATAAAGCTTTCAGAAGAGAGTATCTTCATGACCTTAGGGTAGGTCAAGATTTCTTAAACAGCCATGGGGTTGGGGGGAACACTGATAAAGAAAAACACAAATTGGACTAAATGAAAAGTAAGACCCTATGTTTAACAGAAGACACTACTAAGAGAATAAAAAGGCAAGCCATGGAATGGAATAAGATATTTACAATCCATAAGCACAAAAAGAACTTGGATCCAGTATAACGAACTTTTATAAATCAATAAAGACAAAGGCAAACAACCCAACAGAAAAAAATGGTAAAAACAAAACAAAACTTAAATAGGCACTTCATAAAGAAGATAACCAAATGGTCCACAAACCTATAAACAGATACTCAACCTCAGCTGTCACCAGGGAAATGCAAATTAAAACCACATCTATTATCACTAAACCCATGAGGCAGTTCTACTCTGTCACATGGGGTTGCTATGAGTCAGAATCAACTCGATGGCACCCAACAACAACAGTTATCATTAAAGTCCTATTGAGATGGTGCTAGCATTTACTGATTTCAACATTTATTTTTGCCTTTTGGCCCTGGAAAGGCACTATCCTTTCTCTGTTACAAGCCACGTGGCCTTCTTGGTGGGCACTGTCTTATTCGGAATCAATGCTTCAGCAGACCTTCCATTAGCCTGTGAAGATGGCCACCTTGTTCTGCTTCACAGATCATACCCCTTCCTGAATGTGATTCCCCACATGCTCTTGTTCCTGGTCTGAGGAGCAACCCATCCATAGCAGAGAAGCGGTTGGACCCAGGACTTAGTAAAGCCAGGGTCTTTCTCAGCTTGAGCTGTCAACTGCCTCACTTTGACAAGGGGATGGGTAGACCTTCTGATGGGTGTCTCTGAACAAGAAGGTATATGACACTTCTGCAGACAACCTTATACTTAAGATATTCCGTTATTAAGATGGGACATGCATGTTAGATTTAGAATCATAGGCTGTCAGAGGAGGAGGAGCTTGTAAAAATATCATGTGATTCAACTTCTTTATTTTAAGGAAAGGAAACTGAGGCCTCAAAAAAGCGAAAAGAATTGTCCAAAGTGACAAGGAAATTTGATTGCTGGCCAAGACTCAAACCCCAAATCTCCTGAGCCCTTTTGAGTTCTCACCACGTTAATACTACTAACAAAGGTGAGGTTTCTGTAGTGATGTAAAATAAAGTCTGTTAAAGGAACAAAATCTGGTTACCTCTCCAGAATGCACTTGCTACAATCCCTCATGTCTCAAGGTGTCGTGCACAAGAGATATTATCATGAGTCTCATGTGCAGTCCAGGACACAAAGAACTCTACACTGAGCAATATGTTTAATAAGATCAATGTGTTTAAAAGGCCCTGCCTTAATTACAAATCACTGGTAAATAAGAGCGAGTGGACCTCTGAAGACAAACCCTTAAGTGAAGCTCCTAGGCAAGGAACTGTCTTCTTTGAGTTCCTACCGATACTGAGCAAAATAGCTTGCATTTTGAAGAAACTTCATGAAACTGTGATGCAAGGGGACTATGAAATATTCCCTGAAAGAATTCGCTACACTGCAGTCAAACAATCTTTTCAAACTGCAAGGCTTACCACGTCTTCTCTCTTCTTAAAACGTTTTATTGTTTCCAACTGCTTTAAGGATTTTTTTTAAAAAAAATCTTCAATACTGGCCTAGAAAGCTCCTTACGGGATGATCTGGCCTTGGTCTGTCTGTCTGTCTCTCCAGCTTCATCTTGTGCTACTCATCATTTCAGACCTCAACTCTGCTGTCCTTCTTTTAACACCTCAATCCTTTCCATGTTCAGGACCAGATGCACATACTAGCATCTCCCCTAGTTACGTCTGGCTTCAGAGGAGCATTGATTGACAACCTCTCTACCCTCTTAAAGGTTCTCCCAGTACTTCATACCTGTCTTTCCTCGAGCCTGCCACATGTCCCAAATACCTATACACTTCTGAGATGATCTGCACAATATCCTCTTCTCCCACTCTATGCAGCTCTATAAGAACAGGGACCTAAGTCAAGTTTGAGGGTTCCCAGTAGGCCACAGAGTGTCTGGCATAATCTAGGCACTCAGAAACAGTTTGAGGCATGAGTGAATAACACTTCTAGTGACCACTAAATTACATATTTAATGGATTTGCTGATTGTTCTTCCCAGCTGTGGACATCTTCATCCTGGTTCTCAAACATGCACGTTTCTCTTTAGGTTACCATCCCAGAATTACAGAATGAAACTGGGAACAATACTTCTTACTGTCTGTTTGGTGGGTGGGAGAGGAGGGGAAGTACTCAATGTGAGATTGGGAAAAAAAAAAAAAAACCTTCCACTGAAAAGAAAAATATGACTCAATCTCACGCCAACATCCTAGGAAACCATGTTGATACAGGCCGATTTAAAGCTTCAATTTTAAACTAAGGATTACTAACAACATATAAAAAGTAGATTTTGATTAGTAAAAACAAATCCAAGTAATCTTAAATCCTCTTGTTAAATTATTTATTAGTTTAAAAAAATTTATCATATTTGAACAAAAAATATAAGCAATTATTTTAAATTAGTTCAAAGTAGTAGCCCAATATGACCCAAATAATTGATTCTCTATAAAACCATTTACTCACATTCTCCCCACCTGAATAAAATAATTATAAAGATGCTACATGAAAGGTCTACTTCCAACATCCCCCCCACCCAATTTTTTTTCCATAGATTTTCTTGAGAATAAATATCCCAGGCTTTGAGATAACTCATTATAAACTAATATTTTAAGAACCACTTAAAATCTGCAGTAAGCACATGTCCACGTCTGAAATGTCAGAGAAAGACATTTCCAACAGAAATGAGAAGCTGGTGCCATTCACACTGATTCAAACACAGTGTACGGACTGACTTCTCATTTTCCATTGCAACCAGTTAAAAACCTGGTCACCTACGCAAGACAACTCTTATTTGAAACGCTTAATGTCCATATGTAAGCAGGTACAGGCACATAAATAGAAACTATTTTTAGCTATGGAGTTTTTATTTGTTGTAGTGTAGCTAAATTATAATTTTTTTGCCTCAACAACGAATAGCCCTTCTAGAACTACTTAAAATTAATGCAAGAAGAATATAAACCATAATACAACATATATAGGTGACAAACTAAAAACATGGATCCTGTAAAATGATGATAAGAAGGGAACAATGGCTTGGGGTCCAGAGACTTTGGACAAAAAGATTAACCTCTCTGGGCCTCAGGTTCCTCGCTTACTAGGTGACAGCGATTTTTTGATTTGCCATTAAAATTTGATTCTTTGACCTTACTTAAAACCCAACTATGATATTTAGAAGCTCCCATACACCTCATTGCTTATAAACCTTCCTGGTCGGGTGTTCAACACTGAATTTAGGGTATGAGTTACAGAGTGAGGACACAGCCACTCATGCTTATTTTATACCTTCCCTTCTATCCTCTTCCGGAACGCTGTAGAACACAGCCAGGTCAGCATACCTGCACACACATGGGTTTCTGGGAGGGTAGGTTTTTCTAGATGTGTCTTCATATACGCTGGCATGTATACAACCACATGAAAGCCCAAGTTTTGATCCTGGGTAATACCCTTAGCAGAAAAAGCCAGAATGGGAAGCTGCTTTGCAAGAAAAGATGACACAGAGCAAACGCTTGTTTTCAGATGTGCTGAGGTAAAAATGACAGCTGGACACATAAGTAAAATGTCCAACAGGCGGAAACTCAGCGCTGGAAATGGAAATGACTAAGTCCAGGGCAGGAAACAAGCAGCAAGTGCCGAAAAGAAAATGGAGTCACCTTCCAATGCAACGCTGGCTGCCGTCAACCCCAAAGGGGTAGTTCAGATTTGATTAGCCCAAGGGCTTCCTCTCCATTTGCTTCTGAAGGGCAGAGGCTACTTTTCTCTTACTTCTTCCTCTCTGGGTTAGGCCCTCTACTCAGTCATCTCTGCAAATTCTCAACTATATTCAAGTGTTATTTTTTCTATTATGATTATTTTCTGCCATCTCTGCCAACTCCTATTCCAGTTGAGTTGCAAGTTGCCAAAAGCAGAGCAAAGGCAGACGTCCAGGACAAGTGAACAGGCACAACAGGGTGAAGATGTTATGGGTGTGCATAGCAAAGGCTGAGTACAGTGAGGGCCGCAAAGCGACACGACTATCTTGTTTTTCCGGGTCTCGCCAGTTTCCTGCCTTTGTCAGGGCACAGTCTTAGCACTTTTCTATCACCTGTTTTAGCAGAAAACATTTGCGTTTTCCTTCTCTGACAGGTTTCCGCCTTACACAGGTTCTGGCTTTTGCAGGTTTTACTGTACTTTTCTAACTTCCAAAACCAAACCGAAATAATACTTGAATTTTGCATCATATATATTAAATCTGCACTGCTGTTCCCTTTTACAGTTCTAACCCATCCGAGAATTGGCTAGCTCCATAATCAGATGGGGGAAAAATGCCTATGTTTTAAAGAAACTGTCCTGCTATAAAACAACAAAAAGAGCAATGCTTAAAATTGAACACTTACTCCTGTACTGACAAGAGACAACATGATCCTTTCATTTAAGGCTAATGTTTCTCCTTGTTTCATCTTGATCCTCTTCTTATCTAAGCATTTCATTGCATACCTAGAAACATAAATAATATTTAAAAAGCTACATTGCAAATATATCTAGACTGATTTAAACAACACATATCATACTGGGGAGTTTCTAAAGATTTATGAAATGTTGAAAAGAAGCAAAATGCCATTAAGAAGATATTCTTATTTTGCATGTGTTAAGGAAAAAAAATTCAAGCAATACTAAGATATTTCTATTATTACATAAGTAGACGTCTCAGTTAAATACAGCACGAGTGTGGACAGATAATAATAAATTCAGTGAAGTAACATTTTTATACCCTGCTGCTGCCTAGTACTACTTGGTATGTGTGTGTGTGCATGGGGGTGGGGGGAAGGTGGGAAGTGTATGAATACTATTTAACAGGTTAAAAAACAAAAACAACAAACCCAGCTGCCACTGAGTCAATTCTGACTTATGGTGACCCCCTTGTGTCAGAGTAGAGCTGTCCTCTATAGGGTTTTCAATGCTTATTCTTTGGAAGTAGATCAACAGGCCTTTCTTCAAGGCATCTCTGGGTAGACTCGGACCCCCAACCCTTTGGTTAGCAGCCGAGTATGTTTACCATTGGCACCACCTAGAGACTATTGATTCAGTAGTGGTTGCGTTTTTATAAGAGTGTATAGCGTGGAAGATTCTAAACCATGATTATCAACAAAGTGGGAACAGGAGATATGGCTTCAAAAAAGCACATTCTAAAATGCTATTTTACTGATTTGACTTTAATCTCGATGTTTACTGTATCATAATATTTCAAATAATAAAAAGAATACATAAGATTTTTATATTATTAATTGAAGTTAATTGAGAAAAACTAGTTTTCAATTTGAGATTAGTGAAAACTTGAGACAAATTCATATTAAGAAAATATAGACAAGTGATGTGGCATACTCAATAATCACAGATTTAAAAAATAAAGGACACTTTCTCAGCAGGACAACAGAATGCTAAAAGGGAATTTTTACAAGCATTTCAGGGGCTTGAAAATTCTGTGTGTAAGTATAAATTCCAAGTTGATGGATTACTTCATACAGCCTGCGTATGCAATACAGACAGCTGTCTTACTATGGTAAGACACAGAAAATCCACTTTTTTTTTTTTACTGATCATAACTTAAAATGTTATATCAAAACAGATACAAATTCCCCAATTTGAATATTTTATCTACGTTTGCAGGAGTTCATATAACAAATCAATTGACAAGACAGTAATCTGCCTAGCTATGGGTAGAAGGTCAGCGAAAAAGAGGAAGACCCTCAACGAGATGGACTGACACAGTGGCTGCAACAATGGGCTCAAGCATAACAACAACTGTTTGAGTATGGCGCAGGACCGGGCAGTGTTTCGTTCTGTAGTACACAGGGTCGCTATGAGTCAGAACTGACTCGATGGCACCTAACAACAACAACAACATGGGATCAAATATTGAGAACACAGGGAGTGATGTGTTCTTTAAATATTTCATTTCTATGATAAAGTATTTTCAAATCATGCTACTTCTATCACCACCCTCTGCCAAGATGGTTTTTAATAAAACCTTTAAATTGCAGATCAGAGAAGACAGCGTATGCAGGCCTTGAGCTGCTGGGTAAGCAAGAGAACTCCCAGGCTCTGGAAGGCAGCAGAGAGCTCCTTGAATAGGCCCCAAAGGGTGTAAATGGCAGTTCACAGTGGGCTTATAGAGCCAGCACATGTATAATTGGGAGCCCGGAGACTGGAAAGAACATAAGCTGGGATTCATAGCAGGAGAGGCTTGGCTGCTTTCTAGCTGTGTGGCTTTGGTTAAGTGTCTAACCTTAACCTATAAAACAGAGAGAAGACTATTTACCACACACCAGCTCTTTTTGAGAATTAAGTGAAATAATAAATGCGTAAAAGAGATAAACTGATATTATTTACAACCACAACATCATTGTGACAGACTTGATATTCTAAATACCTCCACAAGTTACAAAGATGAAACAAAACTAAAAAAAAAAAAAAAAAAGTAAATGTAACAAGCTACAAATATATCATTTAGGTTCAAAATGTCCACTGTGCAAGTACAGAATGGGGAGGAACTTTCTCATGAGAAAGAGGCCAGGGTTGTAGAGGACTCTTTGTTTAAGCATAGTACTTACTATGGGCTAGGTAGTGTTCTAAATGCTTTACAATGTATTATATTATTTAATTATCAAAACAAGGTAGGTACTTTTATTACCTCTATTTTATAGTTTAGGAAACAGAGGCACAGAAAGCTCACAAGCTTTGTCTAAGCCAAACAGAGTCAAAGCTAAGATGTGGTCTAGCTGGTATGACACCAGAATCCATGCTCTGAATCACTAGACTACACTGCTTCAGCTGGATCTCAGACATCAGATATCCGGAGAGCCAGACCCCGGGTTTACCCTGTCCGGGGCCCCAAAGCAAAGACCAATAGGCATAAATTCCAACCAACAACCAGTCAGCTGCCATTGAACCAGTTCCGACTCATGACAACCCCCACGTGGGTCAGAGTAGAACTGTACTCCACAGGGTTTTCAATGGCTGATTTTTTGGAAGTAGCTCTCCAGGTCTCTCTTCTGTGGTGCCTCTAGGTGGACTCGAACTGTCAACTTTTCAATTAGCAGCCAAGCACGTTAACCATTTGCATCGCCTGGGGACTGGGCATAAATTAGTGAAGGTAAATTCAAGCCCCAAATCATAGAGAACATGCCAACTAGTGGACCTGTCTAAAAATGGGATAGAATACTTGGCAAAGTACTAAACACCCAGTACCAGGAAGGGTCAGAGTAGAGGCTGTGTGACAACCAATATGTGATGCTGGGGCAGCAGGGGGAGGCAGGCACTAAATCAGGTGACTTCAAATATCCCTTCTTACACTGACTCAATTATTTTATAAACCAAGCTTCACATACCATTCCAACTTGCCCATTGCTCTAACATGGTTGTCAGGTGCCACTGAGTTGATTCTGATTCATAGCGACCCCAAGTCAAAGAGCAGAACTGGCCCATAGGGTTTTCTAGGCTGTAATCTTAATGACAGCAAACAGCCAGGTCTTTTGTCAGCAGAGCCACTGGGTGCGTTCGAACTGCCAACCTTCTAGTTAGCAGCTGAGTGCTTAACCGTTGCGCCCCCAGTGCTCTAACAGGCTTGTCACTAAATCAAACTTGTAGTTTTGGGTCTACCAGATCATATTTTTCCATATTCTCTTGGTCACTTAAACTGCTTCTTAAAAAAAAAAAACCCACAGACCTAAAAACTAAACCATTCACTTTCAGGGGAACTTTTGTACCTGGCTCACATCGACCTCCCAGAACAAAAGTTACTGAGAAGCGTAATCAAGCCTCGTGATCATCGTCAGCCTAGCTTCCCAATCTACTGATCTATGGAGCTGACATCTCCTGAAATGCTGTGTCAACTAGAACTGCATACACTAAGTCATGTTTGACTTAATGAAGAGTGGCAGGGCATTCATTAGAAGAGAATCACTGTCTTCTGCAAAGCAAAAGATTCATTTGTAGTGCGACTGCATGGGAGGCCATATGGAACGTTCCCTAGGTTGTCAGGAATCGCTTCTTGTTCATCTCAGAATCCCTGGAGGCTGACGCACAGCCTGACACATGATGGGCATTCAATGTCTGTTTATTGTTTTTCTTCTCATTTAGTCCCAAAATGTAGAGGTTCCAGCTTATTGTTCTCATTTACCACACTGAATAAAATCAAAAAAAAAAAACAACCACAACAGCTGCCGTCGAGCTGACTCCAACTCATGGCGACCCCATGTGCGTCAGAGTAGGACTGTGCTCCACAGGGTTTTCAATGGCTGTGATTTTTCGGAAGTACATCACCAGGCCCTTCTTCTGAGGTGTCTCTGGGTGGGTTCAAACTGCCAATCTTTCAGTTAGTAGCCCAGTGCTTAATCGTTTGCACCACTCAGGGCCTCCCTTAACAAAACACACCCTCCTATTTCTTTCTGAGGTAAATTACTTCAAGAGCGAGATCACAGGCTTCCATATGTCTACGGAGGGATTTTCTTTTGATGCAAACCTAAAATTCTCTTCATATTTCCAGTAAAAAAAAAAAATCAGTATAGAAAGCTTACATTTTTCCAGTGTCTGCTTTCCTGCAACCATATACTTCACCAAATCCTCCTCGTCCAATAATCCTATGTACACTGAAATCATTCATGGTCAACTGTGAATTCAAAATGCAAAAGGAAAAGGTAAAACCTCATTAAGTTACATTTTTAGAGGATTTTTTTTCATGCAAAATATGTAGTTATTAAAATAGCAACTGAGGTAGGGATCTGCCCTCCCCATGAATCTTATGGAAGCAGACTGCCACATCTTTCTCCTGCGCAGAGGCTGGTGGGTTCAAACTGCTAACCTTTCAGTTAGCAGCTAAGTACTTTAACCACTGCACCACCAGGGCTCATTCATGACTCATTACTCAAGCTGAAAGACTGGATGCACAAGGATGGCAGGACTTTCTATTATCTTCTTCTGCTCTACCTCCAAGGTAAATGAGCAGAGGTGGATTATCCAACAGGCAAGGTACGCACAGTTTACCTTGCTTACCAGATCATCTGTAGGGAATAATTCCATACTTTTTCACCACATCAAAGATTTTGCTTCTAGGTACGGCTAGCATCTGTCTCTCTCCCACCCCCACAGCATCTTCCTACAGAATTAAAGCCTGTCTTCAAATTTATAATCCCTGACAGTAAAGGATTACCCAGTAAACAAGGTAAGCGCAGGCTTACTTGTGTTTACTTACTAATCCGTAGTGAACAATTTCACATGTTGTGGCGAAAAATGTGTAATTTTTCACTACAGATTAGTAAGTAAGCACAAGTAAGCCCATGCTTACCTTGCTTATTGGGTAATCCGCCTCTGTAAATAGGGCATCAAATGGAGGCAAATGGGAGGAGGACAGAGTGGGAACCAAGTGAGATTGTTTTTTGAGCCTCAGAAAGCTAAGATTACTTGATGCAGACCTGGAAGAGAAGCAAGTGAGAAATTTCTAATCAAAAATGAAAAGCAGCCTCAGCTACTCTGAAGCCTACAGCTTGGGAACAAGCCAACAGTTCCAGAAACTGTCATGGTACAAAATATGAATCTATGTCCAGGGCATCTATGTTTGCACAATGAGGGCCATACGGTCAGGCACCTGGGCAGATGCTGGCCATGTGAACTTTTCATCCATAACATTAGTGGATGGAGAGGGCTCATGCTGGCCATGTGAGCATGAAGCAAGAGTAAATGTAAGCAAAGCATATAAAGAGGCTTTATTCCTAAGCATTTTCCTTTTGTCAATATCTTAGTAATGTTCCCGTTTCATAAGTCATTTTAATAGCATTAAACGTTAGAGGCAGAGAGTGAATCCCACGTACATGGTAAGAGGACATTGGACCATAGCAAATGCTTGTTACATATTTGACGTATCCTGGTGAATTAAGGGCCAGAATTTTTAGGGATTCCCACCCCCAGACAGCCCTTGAAATGTCATGTCCACAGCCAGGTAGCGGGCACTGGGTCCACAGGCTTCACTCTTGATGCCCAGAGTCACCAGAAAGTGAGACCTCATACAGAAGCATGAGAAAGACCCCGAACAGACACGAAGAACTTTTTTAAACGTGTGCTATTGCCTCTTGTTTCTTCTACATCCTGCCAGGAAATACGATGAGAAAAGGAGGTAAAAAGACTCCTCTTCCAACAGGAGCGTTCAAGTAAAAGGCTTAAAAAAAAAAAGTCTGGTTGATTATTTCTTTTGTACAGCTGCAACCTGGGTGAAGGGAAAATGTGGAAGAGAAGGTTCTACAGTCTGTACAAAGAAATGTGACCTCTAAATAAAGATTATGCCCTTGAAGGACTGACAGTTCAAGCTAAAAGGATGTTAGGTGGTAGCCTGTATGTGAGGATTGCTTTTTTCATTCTCAAAATAATATAAAAGAAGATGAAACTTTGTCTGGTAAGAGATGGCATCATTTTTATTACATGACTTCCATCTAACAATAAGAAAAAGAACTTTACCAGGATGGTCAAAGACAAGAACGTACAGGAGTCATATTAAGTAGAAGACTTATATTTTTACTATTTCTGTTAAAGGATCAATTACTGCTTAAAATGTCCTTTCTTAAATAAATAAACACATTCCTATATGAATATGACAAAAGAGAATTAAAAGTCAAGTGGTTTATACTTGGGTATGGAAGAATGGAATTTTAATGCACACGGCTGTACAGAGGACATCTGTTTCGGCACTGTACTATCCCTCGGGACCACTCGCCAGAATAAAGTATTTTCTCACGAGGTTAAGCCAGAGGAAGTTTTTATTTAAAAACAACAAAAAAAAAGATGATACTTACATGGATATTTAGTTCTACATTCTTCCACTGACAAAATCTAGTGAACTTGTCACTAAAAAAGAATATAAAAAATTATTGTAAACATCAAATTAACTGGACTTACAGAGTAACATTATAAGACAAACTAGAACTGTGCTACTTGTATTGACTCTCAAATAGATTAAGTCTTCTTTAAACAGTTTTCAAAAGCCATTCATCAGTATTCGTGGCTTTATTTTATGACTCACATGAAAGATTTCCTGTTAGTCCTTTAATTGTCATATGCTATGGTCACATTTTATCTGAGCCAGGACTGTCTCACAGAAAGATAACAAGAACCACGTATGTAATTTAATTTTAATAATATATTTTATTTAACCCAATATATAAAAAAATTATCATGTCAATATGCAGTCAATATAAAACTACTAATGACATAGTCAACATTCTTGTTTTTATATTAAGTCTCTGAAATCCAGTGTGTATTGTGCACTTACAGCAAACATCTCAATTTGGGCTAGTGACATTTCAAGTGCTCAACAGCTACATGTGGCTTGTTGTTGTTGTTAATTGCCATCGAGTAGATTCTGACTCATGGTGACCCCATGTGTCAGAGTAGAATTGTGCTCCATAGGGTTTTCAAGGCTGTGACCTTTCACATGGAGATCACCAGGGCTTTCTTCTGAGGCGCCTCTGGGTGGACTTGAACCTCCAACCTTTCCATTAGCATCCAAGCGCGTTAACCATTTGCACCACCCAGGACTCCTCCCTCAGGATCACACAAGAGCTAGGTTGGCCCAATATTTGGGAAAGGGAATATTTTAGATACAACAGCAGTGGCAACCACCCAGGCCTCAGCTCAGCTGTAACTCAGCCCTGAACCAGCAGCAGAGCCCCTCGGTTTGAGTCTGCTGCTTTTTGGCAGTGTTTCTGCTACTACTCAGAAGAGTGTAATCGTTTATATGAATAATAGTTTCCCGAAGTACTGACTCTACTCCAGGATAAAATTATCTCTTGAACTCTAGTAGAATCACAATGTAACTTTTTTTTTAATTACTTTGGTTCTGTGAAGATGTGGAGAAGAAAACTGCGGTAAAGAGGTTTTTGTTCTTAAAGGCAATTACTAAGCAGCTGCATGCTGCTCCCGCAATGAGACACAATCATTGTGCCATTTGTCTAGAAATTAGCCGCATTTATGGAGAAAGGGACAGTCAGTGTGAATGCAGATTCCATTGTAGAAAGCCCAGTTCCAATGATACATTATCACAGAGGCAGCTCTCAAAATATTGATGAATTGACTGCTAGGTGCCTGAAAAGCTTATTAGCTGATCGTAAGCATTACTGAGAAATTTCAGAATTTAATATGACAAACATGCTCTATACTTTCAGTAGCCCAAAGGGACATATTTTCTAGGTGTATTAATGATATATATGACTACAAAACGACATTGGCCTAAGCCCTTAAATTCTATTACTACATAAAAAATCAAATACAGGCTTGTTCCACTTTGGAGGCTATGATTTCAAAATCTAAACAAATAGATCAGGTAAGTTATAGACTCATGTTTTCATTAGAAAAGGCCTCCCAACAGATATTTTAATTCGGAGATTCTCTAGACTATTTACATTGTAGACCATTTTAAAGCTAAAGAACTAAAGGTCACGGAGACATTAAGATATGCAAACCCTAAAGTTACAAAGTATTGAGGAAATAGTCCAACACAAAGCCTGGCTCATAGTATATAGTCATTAAATGTTTGCTGAGTGAATAAATTAACATGTTTTAAGCACAACATTTGTTGAGTAAAATGAGGTACATACATCTTCACAGTATAAGATTTTACATATAAAGTTTCATACCTTTCCATAAATTTTTGAAAAATGTTGCCTCGAAGACTTTCACAGATTTCTTCTATATATGGCTAGAAGGTTGGGGGTTAGAAATTCCACAACATATAAACAGGAACGCATAAAAGTGAAAATAACAAACCAACGAGAGGGTCAAACTAGATGAGGCAGCCAATCATGCACTCCCAGAGCATCTTTTTCCCTCCTGGCACTTGTCACAATTGTCACGAATGGATTGATCATCACAATTATCTGTTTAATGGTTTTCTAACACTTGACTGTACATTCCATGAAGACAAGGGTGGATCTACCTTGTTTGCCACTGGATCCCTACTGCCCAGCACAGCTCCTGACAAGGCACAGACACTTCTTAAATGATCACGGCTGGCCACATGAGCGTGTGACCTGTGAAGTTCCACAGGGCCCACCCTTAGAGAAGTCCACTGCTTGGCTTAATGCTCTACTGTTGCAGTCTTGAAATTCTTAATAATTTTTGAATGAGGGCCCCACTTTTTCATTTAATACTGGGCCCTGCAAATTATATTGATCAATCTTGTAAATGACTAAAAGCACTTATAATCAGCATTAATGTTGAGTTTTAAAACCTAAAAGCTAATGGACCCATGGAGTAAAATTTTTTAAATTAGGTATTTCATTTATTGATTTTTTATTTCTCCGAATCCTAGAGCTAAAGGAACCACAGGGAACATGGATGTGACCTCCTCAATGTGCACATAAGGAGCTGGGGGCATTGTGGGAGGCACTCGCCTGAGGATTCTGGACAACGCAGTGAAGCCAGGCTTAAAGCTAAGTTTCCTGGTTTACTTGCACAAACCTCATGGAGAACAACTGCAATCTAACTCAAATTTCATGTCACTTTACTCATTACTGAATAAGCAGCATAAATTTTACTTTTCCATGTGATGAGTTTTAAATCAAGAATGATAAAAAATATAAAATGCCAACATTTCACAGTTCAGCCTAAGTTCAGTTAGATAGTTCTGGAAAATATCTTGATACTCTAAACTTGTTGAATGTTGCAAATTTAACCTTTTCTGTATCTTCACAGATCATCCCAAAAGCTTGCAAAAAGAAAATTCCAGATCACAGAATGATCCAAACGAAGTGACAAGAGTAGGAAGTTTGCAGAAAGCCAGTCACCAAACAGATGCTGCGAGGTAACCACAGCTCTTCTGGGAGCAGAAAGGACATGTGCCTGACCATCAGGAGACTTCGGGCTAAGCCAGGGCATCACTGTCCTGGGCAAGGCACTGGGACGAGTCACTAGAACCATCTGGACTTTATTCTCTCACCAATAAAAGGTGAAGCTGAAACATCTCTCTGAAGTTCTTTCCAGCTCTGAAATGCTATGATTTCACGGCTGTAAGGTTCCAACTACATATAATATCTACCCTAGCCAAGTCCTCTAGATGCTGAAGACCAAGGGCTACAAGTCCCAAGAGGTTCAATAAACCTCAAAAGACAAAACACATGAAGTGTTCAAGAATCTATGAAAAAGCTAAATTTCTACATCACAGATTTTCTAATTACAAAGACTATCATTTTAATTAATATTTCTATTCTATCAAACATCCTACACATTCTGCTAATAAAATAAAAAGTAAAATCAAAAGTTGCTAGAAATTCTTATGATTGCATATAATATTTAAAACAAAAACCAAAAAAACCCATTGCCATCGAGTCAATTCCGACTCACAGCGACCCTATAGGACAGAGTAGAACTGCTCCAAGGTTGTAATCTTTATGGAAGCAGACTGCCACATCTTTCTCCTGCGGAGTGGCTGGTGGGATTGAATCGCTGACCTTTTGGTTAGCAGCTGAGGGCTTTAACCAATGTGCCACCAGGGCTCTTTGCATATTACATACACCATATTACCACTTTACAACAGAAAGAACCACAAAATATGCCGGGTAAGCAACACAAAGGCCAGAGTTCAACAGGGGGATCATGAGCAAATACTCAGATTTTCTGTAGCCCTGGTTCCCTTTATCTATAAAATGGAATAATCGTATCTACTTTGCAAGGCTGTCATGAGAATTTAATAATGTCCAGAGCCGAGTACAACGCCTGGCACATTTCAGGCACCCAAACAAGAGCCAGCTTCCCCCAGCCCCCACCACCAAATATGCCCATAAAGTTACTTATTTCTAAAGTCAATTTTACAATTCTCTTAAAAACAAAAATTAATAAAAAGCATTTTGCATTTATTTTCAGAGTATTTTTGTTTCACTATCTTCTCTTTCAGAAGCAATTTCAACTCAAAGAACTTCAACAGACTTTATGGTTAGCATAACTCTTTATGCTAACTCAACATTAACGCTGATTATAAGTGCTTTTAGAATATTCAGAACTTCTATTTATATTAACTGCTACCTTCTGATGGTACATGCTATGCTGAATTGCACTAATATACTCCTTACTTTAATCCTTCACCTTTGAAATAAGAATACCACGTGTTTATTTTTTTAATGAGCAAAACAATTCAGTGTTTGTTTTTAAAAGATACACTGAAGGGATAATTCCTAAATTGATTGCCCCTTGAAGGCAAGAAAAAAATCTTGGAGATCTTTGTATCTCAACCTGGAATCGTTTTTTCTTTTGTTTTATTTTTAATGTCATTTGTGCTACAGAAAAAGCTAAAATCAGAGTTGTGAAATTAATGTATTATGAGATATAGTTTAGCAATGTTAAATGTAATTGACTATTAGGTTATCTATACACCAGGTCAAAGTCAGTTGAAAACTGAAATTCTAACACTAAAGTATCATGTTATTGGGTGCCGTCAAGTCGATTTTTGACTCATAGCAATCCCATGTGACAGAGTAGGACTGCCCCATAGGGTTTCCTAGGCTGTAGTCTTTACAGCAAGGAGCTTTGTGGCAAAACAGTTAAGCGCTCAGCTGCTAACTGAAAGGTTGGTGGTTTGAGCCCACCAATGGCTCTGTGGGAGACCTGGTCATCTGTTCCCGTAAAGATTACAGCCCAGAAAACCCAATGGGGCAGTTCTACTCTGTCATATGGGGCCACTATGAGTCAGAATCGACTCAATGGCACCTAACAACAACAATCTTTATGGAAACAGATTGCCAGATCTTTCTCCCATGGAGCCACTGGGTCGGTTTGAATAACCAATCTTTTCTTTAGCAGCCCAGGGCTTAACCGTTGCATCACCATAGAGACAACAAAAAGGAGATATTCGTGTTGTACTTTTTGACTGTAAAGCATTTGATCATAGCTCAAGTTTATGGAGCATAAACTTGTGTGAACCTTCTCGCTGAATCCTGAAAAGCCCTGTGACTGAGGGCCTATATCTACTCCATTTCACAAAGGAGGAAACTGCAGTAAAGCAGAGGCGCAGGAGCTTGCCCAGGGTCACCACCTAGGAAGTGGTAGACCTGGGATTTAAACCTAAGCCATTGCATTTCCCCGAGCCCAAGCTTACTGACCACCTATAGAGGCAGGTCTTACATTTTAAGAAAAGTCTACCTGGTTGTTCTGGCATAAAGGTAACACTCAAGTTATTACTAGGTTCATATGCTCTAAAAACTAAATTAGTATTTGCTCTATACCCGAAAAAAGAAAAATCCACTGCTGTGGAGTCAATTCCAACTCACAGTGACTCCACAGGATTTCCAAGGCTATAAATCTCTACAGAAGCAGACTGCCACATCTTTCTCCTGAGGAGCCGCTGGTGGTTTCAAACCACCGACCTTTTGGTTAGTGGTCGAGCGCTTTAACCACTGCACCACCAGGACTCCTTATTTGCTCTCTAGAATAATCAAATTCATTTTTCATAAATAAATAAATACTATCATAAGAGGATAAAGTAAAAATCAACTTAGCTTACTGTGAATAAATCAAATGATTGAATAAACCAAGGAAAGGACAGATTAATTATTTTCATTTATAAAAACCATTACATTACTTAATGGTAATCTTTCATGTTGTTCATAATTCCTAGAAACTATAAAAGGTACATTATCCCGCTGGGAATTTGGACTGCATCCTCACAAGCCACTGCCATGGCTATAGAAAACACACAGATGAAATAACTTTTGGGAGGAGTAGAAACGATTAATACTAAAGAACATTAAAAACACAAAGCCTACCAATTGCAAATTTAGTTTTTCAAGCCTTATAATTTAAATCTATATAACTATGTTGTATTCAAGGTACAAACAGCCAAGCTAAAATCCAATTCCTCAGCCAGGACTCCAGGGCATTCAAACATTCTCTCTTGATTCTTAAAAACAAACCTTATTTCAGCCAAAGGATAATCACTGAGAGTATCACTACCTCTGGCTTTAGAAAACTAACAAATAAATACATAAAACACCAGCTGAAGTAGGAAAATAACTAGCTGAATGCCTAAAAGGCCATACTGACCAAAACGATGCTCTACTAGCAAACATGGGTGAACAGTATAAGTCACCATCACCACAAACAACCTGTTACTTCTTCTCTTGCAAATCTTGTAAAGTCCCTGCTCATCACAGGTACCCAGAATGTCAAATTATATCACCTGCAGATAGAAAACGCTTTCTTCCTCTATTTCTTATCTTGATTGATTGACAGAAAATAATACTCTAGAAACTCTAGTGATCTTTTCCAGGAAAACTTTTAGTATGGATGTTTGTCATATGCATGAATTTCAATTAGAAGTCCAACTGTTCCAGAAAAACCTTTGGAATACAGTCTTATAAACCAATTCGTCTATCACATTCACATATCCAAAAAGAGGGTCCCTAAGGTCAACCATTATGCAAACTACATTTTATTTATTTTGAAATAACTTTATCTTACCTGAAAAAGAGTTGGTGGAACTTGTTTCTTGGCTAGATGGGTTTGTACATGGTCTACAGCTTGCTTTGAGAATGGCTTTTAAGAATCAAAAACAGTATTTTTTTCACAAAAAGATGACAATAAAACTAAACAAACCTTTCCACACTGTCCAATAGATAATTAACACAACATTTACTAAACAGTATCTATGGGAATTACAGTAACATGAATTCTTTAAAAATCTGTTGGATATTCACAGGCAATCCAAACAAAATTTACAGGCTTCTAGAGTCTGAGATAACAGGCCCAGAAGGATGATGAGCAAGGGTGTAGGTGGTGGACAGATTTAATCCCACAAGATTACTACAACAATGAAGTGTAAAAAATCTTCTTGTTACTATGTGCCATCGAGTCAATTTTTAATTCATAGCGACCCCATGTGACAGAGTAGAACTGTCCCATATGGTTTTCTAGGTGGCAATCTTTACGGAAGCAGATCACCAAGTCTTTCTCCCGCGGAGCTGCCGTGCAGTTCAAACTGCCAACCTTTTGGTTACTAACCAAGCACTTAACCATTGTACTACCAGGGCTACTTGTAAAAAACATTACTTTCACCTTATTAAATGCATGCGTCCCTCAATTAGCTGATAACAGGACCCAAAAAATGTAAAATTTCTACTGTGTAAGAGAAAATGAACGTAAGAAAATATATCTAAGAATGAAAAGCTAGGACTGCAAAGCCAAGCCAGAGTGGTGAAGGGTCTATCTAGGTTAGGCAAAGTCTTGCTGTAACCAGAACAGAGGGGAACTGGTTCTAGAAGAAGAACGGCACTTCTACTAACAAGAATTACAAACTGTATCTTCCCCCAAAAAATTTCAGATGTACAAGAAGAAGAAAGGCTGAAAAACCATACCACACTGCAAAAAACTCTTTAAATTACTGAGCTGGGTGAAAATCAAGTTTACAGAGGCTTCCCCATCAAACATCTAGTATTCTCCAAGGGTTTAGCCAGTCCCCAATAAGGCAGCAAGGTACAGAGCATCAATGATTAGCTCTAGCTCAGAAATTTTTTCCACTACAAGTGAGGTGGGACCAAAGAACAACAAAACAAAGTGTGCTATGAGACGTCTTTGTTAGCCACTGTTATTCAATGCCAGTAAGAACTGTATAAACAACACAAGACAATGAAAATGTGAACATGGACTAGAGTGTTGTTCACATGCCATAACAAATGATTTCTTCCAGCCTTGGAACTCCTAGTTTACAGAACCACTAAAATATATCATTATTATGGCCAGGAGTATCCTAAAGAACTTTCTGTGATGATGCAAACATTCTGTATCTGGGCTGTCCAATACAGGAGCCATTAGCCACATGTGGTTATTGAGCACTTGAAATGTGACTCACAAGGAACTGAGGAACTAAAATTTTAATTCCATTTAATTTTTTAAAATTAAACTTTAATTTAAATAGCCACATATATTGGACAGTGCAGGTCTGAAGAGTTAGGCTACTCGTCTGGAAAACCATCTTAACACAGAGACATCACATGGTAAATTTTCATCACTAATTATCTACTCACTCCTGATGGTATAATTTCCTAGGAATCTAGTTTAACTTAATGATTGAATGTTTATCTGATTTACAAGGAAAAAATTGTATCAAGTATCCTAGTTAACTATCAGTGAACAAAACTAACACAATAATTACCATCCTTATCAATTCAAAGAAGCCATTTAAGATTTATATTTAGCAATATTTGATTAGTCTCATTATTTAAGTACAGGTAAATGAGAGGGAAAAAAAAGCTTAATTTCCTTTACAAATAGTCTATAATTGAGACTAACCTTTTCTTCAATTGATATAAATTAGCTATTTTATTTCATCAGTTTTTGTAATGAAAGTATAAGCTAAGTATAAGCAAACTCAGAGTATATGAAGCAACAGACACTGTGTCACTGTTATCAGGAAACAAATGACAAAACAGAAGAAATGGGTTCCATCCTGGAGAAGTATTTTTTACATCTTTAAATACCCACCTACTATTTTATTTTCATTCTGGAAATATTTAAAGTTATCTCACTGATTGGTACTAAAGTAACAGAACAAAAAGAAATACTTACATGCGAACAAGATAGGAGCTCCTTCATGATATAGGTGTCATAAATTTGTCGACTTCTACAAAGACGATCTTCCTCGTTGTCAAGCTTTTCATATTCTTTTATCTGTATTTTTTGAAGTTATCAAGGTTAGCTAAGTCTACTACTGAATTTGCTTTGTCAGAAGATATTACTCGCCCAGGCAGAAACCACCTCCACATGAGAGAAAGCAAATTACGGAACAAGCTATTCCACAGGAAACAACTACGTCTAACGTTGAAATAATGAAGTTGAATCATTTAGATTCAACTAGAAACATACACGTGGATTTTTTCCTATGATGCACCTCATTGCTTAAATGCAGAAACACAATATCAGGAAACAGATACTGCCAGGATTGTTAATTACCTTACAATATATAAGCCATGAACCACTCGTCTTTGCCAATTCTCCTCTCCAAACAACACGTAATTTAAATTTGGCTTTAATTCAATTCTAAGAGTTATGATGGAGACTGTCCTCATTCAGCTACAATGCCACAAAATTAACAGGAGGGGAAAAAATACTGTCAGGATTCCTGCAGAGAGGTTTTTTTAAATCTACTAAAGCAAATAAGTATTTTTGAAAAGGAATTAATCCATAAATAAGAATACTGGTTTTTCAAGTTGGAACTTGATCTGCCCTATAAAAATATTAACAGAAAGGTTACTTGAAATGGTATATTTTGCTACATATACGGGAGGTAACCTGACTGCTGTTGACGCAGGCCAAATAATTACAATCTGCTTTAGAAGTATTTGCCTTATGTGGAAATGATCACAATTGCTTTATAACCTGGTAACAGAAAGTCCTAGGTCAGAGAATTGCTTCCATTTATTTACCGAAATACCTTTAATCCAAAGGGCAAGAAGGGAATAACAACACAAATTAAATATGGAGCTAACAGAGCTAATAGGAGGGGCCCCTGAGTGGTGCAAACACTTAAATATTCAACTTCCACCCAAAAGGTTGGCGGTTCAAACCCACCCGGAGGCATCTCGGAAGACAGGCCTGGCAGTCTGCTTCCAAAAGGTCACAGCCTTGAAGACCCTATGGAGCACAGTTCTACTCTGCACCCATGGGGTCATCATGACTTGGAACTGACTCAAGGACTCAAGCGCAACTAACAGCAACAACAACAGAGCTAACAGGAAGACTGTAGCAAAGATTTTCAACACAATGACTGAATAAAATGTATCACTGATTTTTGGAAAAAATATTTCTAAACAAACTAGAACCAAACCAGTTGTCACCCAGGGGATTCTGACTCATGATGACCCTATGTGTGTCAGGGTAGGGTTTTCAACGGCTAGTTTTTCAGAAGTAGATCTCTAGGCGTCTATTCCGAGGTGCCTCTAGGTGGGCTGAAACCGACAACCCCTCAGTTAGCAGCCAAGCACGTTAATCATTTGCACCACCCAGGGACTCCATGTTTCCAATCGATAACTACTTACTATCCTGACTTTGATAATACCTGAGTGTTCTTTATTCTGGTATGATAAAAGGCAGAGCTAACTACTCCGATGGGACAGAGTATAAATTGAATGGAAACGAAAATGACCTTTTTCCTTTATAGTCTGGGTTCGACAGTTTTGAAATAAAAATCAGTAAATCCTATAAGAATTTCTGATAAAGATAAGAGCACGTAGGAGCAGGGGTAATGGGGTGTGTCCAATCGGAAAGCTAGCTAGTTCATGCACTGAGAGAAATTATTGGGATCATCTCAGTTGTCCCGGAAGAACATCAGTGTTTCACTGTGGTGGCTGAAATTCACACTTCTGTTGACTGCCAGTCTTAGAATGGGCTTTTCTTGAACAGACAACAAACCTGACATAAAGGTAGGCTGACTGGGTAGGCTGATACTCAGTCTAAGAGGAAAGACTGCTTTAATGAAGAATCTGTCTAGAAGTGTTGGCCTAACCAAAGGATCTGTGAATAACCATCCTAAGTTAATGTAGGAAAACAAATTTAAAGAGTTCAGACACCATACTGAATGCAAATATTGTAGCTGCAAAGGAACAGAAGCAAGACACCAAAATCCAAAGTAGAGTCAGAAAAGTGAGAAAAATGTTTGGGGCTTGGTTGATTCATTTGTTATGTTTTGTTCTAGGCAGGTCAAAGGTGAATGCCAGAAGACTGGAATAAAACAAGGAGATGGTTAATAAACCAAAGGTAAAGGATTGTTCCTTGACATCTGAACAACTTCACGCAAAAATTAGCCCTCATGGAATCATTGCCCTTGAAAACAAGTGTGATGAGATGTAAGTCTACGTTCCGGGAGGCCTATGACAATCATAGTAGACAAAGCAAACTGACACCTAGTTAAGCAAATGCTGATTCTATGAAAGTTCCCATGAACTGTCAGTATCTACTATACAAAAAATTCTAGTTTTTGGGCAAATGATACTCTCAATAGCAACACTGGCCTTACTAAGAGCCTTGAGGTTTATTAACTCCAAAACTTGGCCAACAGAAGAAGTATCTGTGGCTGTAATTCAGAATTCATTTTCTGTTATCAGCAACATGCAGTCAATCATCAATCAGCTCTACAAGGGATGTCCTGATCACAGTATCTTGTTGTGTTATTGTGTGTTGTGTTACTGTGTGCTGCTGAGTTAATTCCTACTCAGAGATCCCATGTGACAGAGTAGAACTGCCCCACAGGGTTTCCCAGGCTATAATCTTTACAGGAGCAGATCTCCAGGTCTTTTCTCCCATGGAGCTGCTGGTGGGTTCGAGCCCCCAACCTTTCAGTTAGCAGCTAAGCAATTTAACCATTGCTCCACCAGGGCTTCTTTATCACAGTATACACATAGCAATTGCTGCCTTTGACTCTGGCAGTTAGGTTGCCAGGTAGCTTTGAGCAGGAAGAGGTCTGAGTTCAAAGTGAAAAGCCTTCCCTACAGCAGGATGGAAACATTTCCCTCAAGAATAAATATTCACTGACCATGCAGCCCCTTTCTGCTTTGGTACTTCCAAAGCTGAGAAATGAACATGTCGCCTAAATTATCAGAGCTCTAAAGAGCAAGCCGTCTTGGTCTCCGCTTTCTTGTCTCCCATCTGGAAGATGGTCTCATAAAGTCACTAACGGCTTCCACTTTGTCCAACCTGTCATGGATTCAATTATGACCCCCAAAAAATGTGTGTGTCAATTTGGCTGGGCCAAGATTCAAAGTATTGTGTGGTTGTCCTCTATTTTGTGATTGTAATTTTATGTTAAAGAGGATTAGGGTCACATCCCCGATCCAATGTAAAGGGAGTTTTCCTAGGGTGTGGCCTGCACCACCTTATATTTTACAAGAGATAAAAGGAAAGGGAAGCAAGCAGAGAGTTGGGGACCTCATACCACCAAGAAAGCAGTGCCGGGAGCAGAGCGCGTCCTTTGGACCTGGGATCGCTGCATGGAGAAGCTCCTAGTCCAGGGCAAGACTGTTGAGAAGGCCGACAGAGAGAGAAACCCTTCTCCTGGAGCTGATGCCCTGAATTGGTATTTCTAGCCTACTAGACTATGAGAAAATAAATTTGTCTTTGTTAAAGCCATCCACTTGCAGTATTTCTGTTATAGCAGCCCTAGATGACCTAGACACAACTCAACAGTCTCTTTTTTGTCTTTAGCTTCACTGACTCTTCAGCAGCGCTGACCTTAGTTGCCCACTCCTGCCCTCTTTGAAACCTTCTTCTCCGGACCTCTGTGATCTACTTCTCCAGGGTTTTCCACACTCGCTCCTGTCTTTCTCAGTCTCCTTTGGTGGTTCTTCCTCCTCTGCTTGACTTCAAAATACTGAAGTGTCTCAGAGTATGATGGTGGGGCACCCCTGTTTCACTAGCTACATTTTCCTTAGGTAAAGCTATACAGTCCCATGACTTTTAACAATAAGTATATTCCAATGACTAAATCTAGGTCTCTAGAACTCACCTACCCCTCTGAGCTCCAGAGCCTAAATATCCAACTGCCTATTTAAAAAAAGCATCTCAGATTTAACATGTCTAATTAGAACTCTTGAATCTCACCTCCTCTCTACCACAGCAAAACATACTCTTCCTCCAGTCTTCTTTATCACAAAAATGGATAAAAACCATCCTCCCAGTTGCTTAAGTCACAAAATGAATAATCATCATTGATTCTATTCTCTTGCTCATACCCCTGCCACTAGAACTCCCTACATCAAGTTCATTAGTAAATCACGTTGGCTTTCCCTTCAAAATATACCACAAAACAAGGCTCTGCTTCTGATAATAGACTAATTTCCAGTAGAACAACCCTCCTGAGATAACAGCTATAAATTCTGGGCAATACACAAAATACAACTGCATAAAGGCATTGGAAAGTGACCAAAAGTACAGAGATATTGGGGAAGAGACATCAACCAGCAGCTGGAAAGTGAGAGAGGATATCACTGAAAAGAAAGATCCACAGCGGTGGAGATTCAAATTTCTGTATATAAACTTTAAAAAATCTCTGGTGGACGCTTTAATGACACATGAGCATGGAAGACCCCAAGCAGCCCAGCTAAGACTAAAAGCACTGAGCAAGATCTAGCTACTATCGGCTACAGAGAAGACAGAGCTTGGAGTTTGAGTACAGCCATTAACTGCTCAAACAAACAAAACAATATGTCAATCACGATGTCCAGGACACAATATAAAATTATTCTACATATTAATAAACAGGAAAACGTGATCCACACTCAAGGAAAACACCATCAACAAAGACTAACTCAAGATGATCCAGATGATTTTAAGCAGCTATTATAACTATACTCAAGGACACACCAGAAAATATGCATGTAATGAATAAAAAGACAATCTCAGCAGAAAAAAATAGTAACTATAAAAAGAACCAAATGAAAATTTTAGAAAAGAAAAATATATCTGAATTTGAAAAAATTCAATAGATGTATACAACAGCAAAATCAAGTTAACAAAAGAGTCAGTGAATTTGAAGATAGATCCATAGAAATTATCCAATTCGAAGAAGAGAAAGAAGAAAGATTGAGGAGAAAAACATGAACAGAGCATCAGGGGTGTCTTGTGTATCTAGTGCTGCCGTAACAGAAATACCACAAGTGGATGGCTTTAACAAAGAG